CATGTCCAAAGAGTGTCGCCACCACTACAAGTTCACTGGCAAGATGTCACTACAAGGGTATCTGAACGGGCCTTCCCCTTTAATCAGATCAGTGACTGCCCTATTATCAGCATAGAACCTACATCCAGTGACTAATAGAAGCAGATGCAGTGAGTGATCCATAGCCAAGCTCTGGGCAGAGCTCCTGGAGTTCACTTGAAGAGAGGATGGAGGGATCATTTGAACAAGGCAGGGGGAGGTGGTCAACAGCATGATGGGAAAAACCACAGAGGCAGGTGATCTAAGCTAGTGGGAGCTCGCTGACTATGGACTGATAGCTGGAGACCCTGCATGGGACTGAACTAGGTCCTCTGAATGTAGGTGACAGTGATATGGCTTGATCTATTGGGAAGGGGACTGGCAGTGGGACCAAGACCTATTCCAGGTACATGAACTGGCCTTTTTGGAGCCCATTTCCTATGGTGAGATACCTTGCTCAGCCTTGTTACAGTAGGGCCTCAAGTTTGTAGGCCAGGCTTTGTTGACTCCCCAAGGAAGGCCTTACCCCCTCTAAGGAATGGATAGGGGATGAGACAGTGGAAAAAGGGGAGGGAGGGGGAACTGGAGTTGATATGTAAAATGAAAAATATTTTTTTAATAAAGAACAAGGTTTAGAACAGATAAGGTCATGCAGGTCATTGGTGTATGCTACATTGGGAAAGTAATATTTATGGCCTGCTAATTATGCCCTGCCTCACTTCTGAAAACCTATCTTTTCCTGGGCCCTGACCACCTACCATCACTGGGCATCTACATTGTTTATTAAATATTGTAAACCATGTCCATCCAACTCTGTAATTGTTGTATCCAAAGAAGTCTTCTGTCAAGCATCAGATTGAGCAATTACTTTCTCCATCACATGGAGTCCTTTGGAAGCCTGAAAATCACAGTGCACAATCCATAAAAGAATTTCCTGCAGAAGGTTCCCAAGAGAACAGATACAAACTACATGTCTCTTGCCTAGATGAAGTTTTATGGGAAGGCAGTATCATCTTTGTCCATTGTCTAGCGAGGACTAAGGACACCATGTATTTATTTTGACAAACCATGAAGACTTCCCACTTGGAATCTGATAAAGTCACATAGAGAGAAGGCTCTCAGTGCAGCCTGATACAAAGATTCCAGAGGCCACCCAACACATCCAGCCTTGAACTGGCATCTTCACCTCTGAGGCTCAGCTCTTTAATTGTTGCTGTCTTTTTCTGACATAGACTGTGAAGTGCTCATCAATGCAATTTTCTGTTCACTACATAGATCGACCCACCTTCAATCTAACCTTTCAGCAATCTATTTTCTACACAGGGCACTGAAGACTCATTGATAAGCTAGACCTGCCCATGTCCTCAGGGGACTCACAGTATACTAGCCACCTTGTCTAATAATTCATTTCATTTTCCATGTGTTCTTATAACTTAATCAATCATTAAAAATATGTTTTATACAAAAATAACATCTGCTTGCCAGTGCCCAATAGTAGAGCCCAGAGAGTCACTGAGTCCCCCAGAGAGGTGCACAAATTTAGAAGCCAATTTTGTCTTCAAAAAACAAAAACAGGAGTGTAATATGCAGCAATACTAGTGAACAACACCTGATATTAGCCTCTGGCCTTCACATGAACATTCACAAATGTGCATGTGTACTTGCACACATATGACCTACACACACACACACACACAGAGAGAGAGAGAGAGAGAGAGAGAGAGAGAGAGAGAGAGAGAGAGAGAGAGACCAAATCCTAGAGTTGAGGTTGGAAAGCGACTTTTCATCAAATGCTGCCTGCCCCTTGTCTTTTTAAATTGTTTTCCTGATTTTATTACCAGTCACTACATACAATACAAAGAACAGCTAGTGAAAACTACTTGTCTGTGCCTCTATATTGGTTAGCTTACATTATGCAGTGCTTAAAATGCTATAACACTTCAAGAGAATAACAGGGTTTTTGTTTCCTTGGGGACCATACTTAAACAGTCTGGCAATGACACCGTTGTGCTAATGGCTTTGCAAAGAACCAGAAATTGTGGTCAGAGTCTGATTCTGAAAAGCTCAGGTATACATGACAATGGGGACACTCTTTGACTGACCTTTGACCCCAGCACATGAACATCCTTAAAGATCTTCAAAGGTAGAGTCTCTGCTAAAGTGTTGACCCCAAATTCTGATGTAGCATATGGTTACTGCCAGAGATGTTCTCTAAATGAAATTTCAGTTTATCCACTGGGACAGCCACATGGACAATGTGGGTGGTCATGGCAGCCCACTTTATTATTCCTGCTTCAGAAGGCAGAAAGAGCATCCCTAGAGCAAGCTGACTAGACCAGACCATGTCAGTGAAACCTGAGATCACTGAAAGGCTTTCTCAATAAATAAGGTGGAAGAGCAATTGTGGTTGGTGCCAACATCAACTTCAGGCCTCCACATGCCTGTACATACACATGTGCATACTCACCCACATGGACAAAAAATGTGTGCACATACAAAAACATGGGAATAAAAGAATCTCACAGGCAACACACAACCTCTGCCTGACTTTGAGGAATTAATTCAACTCCTGCAACTTCTGTTTTCTTGTATGTAAAACAGGAGTGATAATAATTTCCTAGTGGGGCAATTGTAAAATGATTGACAAGCACCTGCCATGATCAGGAAATGCTGGCTGCTGTCCTGTGCATCTCAATAGAAAAAGCCTTCCTGGAGAAGGATGCAATATAGAAGGGAGCAAGGGGTTCCCAAATCCATCACTTCTGAAGAAAGACATGTCTGCTTCAGAACTCTCAGATCAATCTGCTCTTTCTGGCCAGCCAAGATGAGTACTTTCTGTGGTGGGGCAGAGACTTCCTCCTGTGGCTGTTCCGCGATGGCTCTGTTGGTGCCCCTTTCTATACCTGTCTCCTGGTGACTCTAAGCTCTGGGTTCAAGCTGCCTCCAAAATACCTGGGTAGCTAGGAGTAGGGACTACCCCAAAGCACCTCATACTGTGCAAGTCTGAAGTTAAGACCAGCCCCTGGAGAGGGAGTCAGGCCTGGAGAGACAGGGCACCTTGGGGATGGGTGGAGATGCAGAAGAGGGAAGTGAAAATCTTTAAAATGTAAAATAGTCGGTTTCTGAAGCCTGGTCACAGAGAAACACTGGCTATTCACTGTGGAGGAGTCATCCATAAAGGAAAACTAGCTACAGACATTTGACTGCAGGGACAGACATGGAATGCTTGCTTTCACAGGAACAAAGGACACTAGGCTTTGAAGAACCTGCAGAGAAGCAGCAAAGCTCAGAGGATCAAAACTTGCTGAGGATCAATGGAGCCTCAAGCAGGTGCTGAAGACTGGGGTGGGGGTGCTCATATCCCCTCTCCTAAATTTTCCAGCACAGTTATGGAACTGCCCAAGGGAAATGGACAGCACCTTGTGTCTCCAGCTGGCCCATGTAGACAGAGAGTTCATAACATGTGAACTCACAGAGGAAAGCCATCAGTAGTGGGCCTGGCCAGCAGCTAGTGTGGGATGCTACCTGAGCCGTTTTTAACAACAGCCACCCAAAATGGATTTCAGCCATATTAGCACTGAACTAATAAAGAAATCCACATCATAAAAGAAGAAATTACCCACATAATAAACCTTGGATCTTCCAGAATGATGCCATTAGAAATTGATCAGCTAATTTAGGAGCAGCTGAAGGCTGTATTCCCCCATTGAAAGCAAAACCAAGAAATGTTTACAGGTCTGCTCTCACTGAACAGCATGCAGAGGTCACTTCGGTTGCCCTGACTCTGCTCTGAAAGAGTATGTGGGCAGAGAGTGTTCCTCAGAAATGTTGGAGTCACCCTGTGCACTAACTTCAACATAGGTTAGCAGGAAACAACTTCTAAGAGTGAACAGGTATAGTCCTAGCGATGCCTCATGCTCCCAGTCACCCCTGAGGCCAAACCAGTGGGGTGACCCGACCAAAAGACACTTCCTGCAAACCCTTTTGGGATGAGTGTACTATGTATATACCTACTGACTACACACAAACTCACGCACATGCACACTCACATGGATATACAAATGGCATATCCACACACATATATCCCCACATAATTATACATGTATCTGTAAACTCATGTGTATTATTCATACACATACATTCTCCCAACTATACAAATGTGCACTCTAAATTCACACATACATAAACACTCTTATACCTATATTTACATACATAAACAACTCATATATGCACACACAGTTCACACACATACATACTCAATATACTCAAATGCACAAACAACTCACACATATATACTGATACTATACATTCACATATCCATACACACAAATCTATACATACTCTTACAATACACACTTGTACATATATTTCTACATACACACTCACATGACCATAAGTATACATTAACACTCACAGGTACACAGTTCATATACATACTCAGTTATACCATACCACGTACTCATAATGCTTCTCACATATACATACATGGGTAGACATAAACCATTACATTTTCACACATGCATGCACTTAGAAGCATAAACACTCCTGCTTGCACTCAGACATGCACATAACTCTCTCACATATTTGTAACATTCTGCATGAGATATGGTCTCTATTCTCTCCTTATCCCTTTGTTCTGCCATCTGTATTTACTTTATAACCTGACCTCATCTCCCCGGCCCTGGCTCCTAATTGCTTATCAGCCTCACCTCATCTCCTTTAACTAATTCTGAAACCACTTCTCTGACATTTGCTGTTTTCATGGACTGGATTCTTCTGCTGGCCTCCACCTGTTCCAGGTCAGCATCTTGGGAGGCAAAGGCCAGCTCTCCGATCTCTTGCTTTGCCAAAATGGAACTCCAGGATCCATTCCAGGCCCCAAGTCAGAATTAACCTTGAAAGGATTGTTCAGAGTTTTCCCACTGGGCAGTGGGGCAATGGGGTAGGGCATCCCACATCCATCACCATTCTGGGGTTCTTACCTCATTCACAAACACCCAGTGACTGTCTTTGGAAGCCAGGTTTGTCTCTACAGCCTGCAGAGAGAAAAAGAACATATATGAACAGGAGCAGGCAGAAACTGGCAGGCACACAAGATGATGGGTGAGATGAAGTTTCATAAACATTGTTTTCACAGAATTTTTCCTCACAAAACATGCCATCCCCCTGGGACTCTTCTAGCTGCCTTGGCCACGAGAGATGCCATCTGAGCACAGATGTCTGATTTTACCCTGTCTGTCCATGCTTTCCTGCGCTGGCCAGGAGAAATATTAGAGATCCTAGTTCTTAAGGCACCACAGACCACAGATATAGTCAAAGCCTCCCTTCCCCAAATTCCCTTCCAAAGGAACACTTAAAGACAGTGTTCATCATTAAACAAAACTACAGAACTAGGAAACTGACATATTGGATTTATGGCAGTTTGTCTAGGAAAACAGAAGGCACCAGCTAAACTACAGTGTTGATTTGCATTAGTTTTAGGATCCACCGAGCTGGGTTCTTTCCAGTTACTGAAGATGGACCCATCCCCACCATTCCCTCAGAACTGCCTTGTTATGACACTTGCCATTGCTGTGTATGTGAATGGCTACCACTTCACTGCCTCCTATTATCTATTTTCTCTGCAAGGTTGGGTGGGGCCTCCATAGGATTAAGGTCTACATCTCTCAGGCCACAGCAGTGTCCCAGAGCTTTGCTCTGACACCAACATAAAGTAGGCATTCAACAAACATAGCCTTGCATATGAATAACTGAGAGGTAGCAGCAGAAAATAATCCAGGTCCTTATTTTGTTTTCAGGCTTTGAGCTTGTTTGACCATGGGTTTGTTTGCTTTTGTTTTTATTTAAGAACGGATCTTATATAGCAAAGGCTAGTCTAAAACCCATTGTATACCCAAGACTAGCCTCGAACTCCTGATCCTCCTGCTTTCAACTCCCAAGGCCTAGGATTATAGACATGCACCACCATGCCTGGCCCTCTTGCATGTGTTTATTGGGGCTTTCTCTTTCCTTAAATTAAAAAGCCAATAGACTAAAAGAATTGGAAGGGACTGGTGATTTGCAAGCATGTCCTGGAAGAATGCTCATGGTGAACGTGTGCCAAGAGCTTGCCAAGCACTAGGCAGTGTGCCAAGCCATCTATGAACCTGGGAAAGAGCTTTCAGATTTACTCCTTTTCATTTTACACTTTTCTTTTTACATTTTGGTAATGTAATTTTTATTACTCCTTTGATTTTAAAAATATAGACAAATTAAGGTGCTTAATTAAACTCACTCCATAATACTTTCTCATTTTAAATTAATGTGCTAATGTGGCAAAACAAACAAACAAACAAATTCCATTTATTCCTCCAGATTCATCCACTGGAAGCCGTCTGAAGTGTCCCCTTCCAGATAACACTTGCCCCTCTCCTGTGTTCAGAATTATGTAACTCTTGAGGCCAGAAAGGAAACTTCAGAGAATGAGGTCCATAAATATCCCAAGAATTTCAAAAGAAGCAGAGATAAGAATATGGTCACATTAGTTCTCTAGACGTTCACCCTCATTCCTCCATTTGCTGACATCTATCCTGTATCCTTTTGTTACGTGAGCCTTACCCAACTAACATCATATTTCTGGGATAAACATACCCCTGCTCACCTCAGGAAGGATGATGACCACGATGATGAAAAAAAAAAAAAAAAAGTACAGGAATATGATCTAGATAACTGTGCACACACTGCTAGGCTCTTGCTGAATTCAATCTTTCAGCATTCCCTTAGTGCTCATCTGTTATGTCAGCAACTTGTATATCAAATTAGCATATGACAAGGAACTCATGAGGTCCCAAAGGCTGGAATGCTAAACTGTATCTCAACAGGAGCAGGTCAATGAGGCTGAACTCCAAACAAATGCTGAGATAAAATTTGAATGCAGTACAGTAAAGACTAAAGATGGAAGAAAAGGCTGAGAGTAGGGGTACTGGTTCCCAACCTTGGTGTCGATCTAAGTGAGACACCCTAGTGATAGGAGAAACCACATCCCAGATCCCAGGCATGACATGAGAGAGTTTAAGCCAATAGCCACATAAGTAACAAGGTACTCATACTGCGTAGGATGGTGTAGGTATCTAATCAAATGAAGAACTGTCTTGTGGAAGAGTCCGAGTTGCTCTCTGCAGCACTTAAGAGTGGGTTTACAGCGAATGGCTCTAGTAATCAAAGAAGATATACACAGCAGAAGAAAAGTTTTCTAACTTTCTAGGTAGGGAAAATAGTCTGCCTCAAGGTAATGAGGCCCACCAGAAGTACCCCCAATGTTGTCAATGCCAGCAGTGGCTTAGAAAGTTAGTAGTGACTTGGAGGGTAACCGTGGGTGAGAAGCATAACTCCATACAGAACTGGCATCCGCTGCAATAACTCCCAAGTAAGGCTTCAAGTAAGAAGTCCTAGAAACTGTTTTTAAAAGCGCAGGTCCTGACCTCACTACAGAGGGTCTAATTCACTGAGAGCAGCCACCTGCCTAACACCCTCATGGTTTCCAAGCTCCGACCTGTACCTTGGCCCTGAGGTCTCTGCCATAGAACCTGCTGCTCTGAATCTGAAGATGCAGGTGCATTTTGCAGCAGAGAGGGTGCCAGCATTGCCAATGATCATGGCCAGTTGCTGAGAGACCCTAGGGAGTGTGTGGGAACATGGCTTCCCTAAGAAGTCTTCCTACCTGGTGTCAGACTCAGGCATGGAAGACATTGACAGACAGAATTGATCAGAAAACCCCGCAGGATGGCTGGCAACCTTCCCTGTCCTACTTTCCCTCGCCAATTAAGCAACAGCTAATTTGTTAAGCCTCTTCTTCCCACATGAGATAAATAGCACTTGGATACAACCTTTTACCAGAGGGTACAGCTCACACAGAGACTGGGGATAGGTGGTAAGAAAGGGCAGCTACTGCAGATCGAGCCAAGCCACACTTGCCTCCCTTTGCAATTAGTGCACTCAGTGGGATGAATCCTAACAACTCACAGGCCAGAGGGCAGGGTCCCTCTCTCTCCTCACTGCTGGTTCTGCTTCTAAGTGGCAGCGAGAAACAAATGCTTCTTTCATCGCGGAGTAATCATGGCATAGCGGAGCCTTTGCTGTATGCTCCTGTGTCACCTCCCAAGCACATTTTTGTGATCCACAGCACTTGTGTACCAATTATGTTGTGGTTACTCTAGCTAAAGCCCTCGCATCACAGTGGGATATTCAATTACGCACTCTCTGTGTGTACATTCTCAACCACCAACACCCAAATCTCAGGTTGCCAGAACTGCACTTGGCACTCGTGATTACCTGGGAATTTATACCCTAACCAAGAACTGAGGTTGTCACAGATGCAGAATCAGCTGTCTTGCTCCCTGGCGGGGATGTCTCTCAGTGTCATCTCAGCTGTTCCCAGAATCCAGCTACCGAATGAGGTCACAGTTATGTCACTTGGCACCTTCATCTCCCTTCCCACATCCCCAGGTACATGCTGGCTTTCTTGCTTGAATTCCTCTGGGAATACTTCATAAATAATTGTCATCTGAGTCCCTCCTCTCACAGTCTGCTTCTGAGATTCCAAGCTGAAATAAACAGCTCCAGCCTGGGGTAATGTTAAGAATGAAATGGTTTTACGTGCTATCTTACCAGTCAAGTAAGGAACTCAGTACATGATCAGTCATTGCAAAAGTCCTCTTTATTCCTTTACCCTGCTTCTCCTGCCTTGTAGCCATTACAGGGTCTCCTCCATCATCATTCCAGAGTCTCTTCCAAGTGTATAATTCCTCATACTTTCCTTCCTTCATTTAACAGATAAGAACTGCCATCCATGACTTGACATCTGTCTTAATACTCTTAAACACAGAACTCCACTAAATGTCATGTCAATGCCATGAGAGTCAAATAGTGATTTGTTAAAAATAATAATAATAATAATAAGTTACTGAGTATAGCCTCGAAACGTGGTAGGTGATGTCTCTTCCATGTCCTCCTACACCTCAGAGAAGTCCAGCATGGTACGTCTCCTCTCTTGCCCAGCATGGGATTCTCTAGGCACATGGCATCACAGGTATCTATAGAGAGAGCTGGCTCAACCAGGTAAATTGATTGTAGCATCTATATCCTGCAGCTGTGTATTTGGGGATGGAGCTGAGATAACCTCATGTTCAGAGACAGCTTTCTCATTTACCTCCATCAAGTGGCAAGTTGGTTAGGTTTCTCCATGGAGCTGACAACCATGGCTGCTGGTACCATTCTAAAGATAAACCAGGGTAGAGACCTAAGTAACAACAGGGCCTAGGTCCCAATGAACACAGAGGGATTGCTACAGTGGCCCAAAGCTTTGGCCCAATGTACATAACCCTACTGCATTGTCATGACTCCTGCAAGACATTACGGAACTGAAAATTTTCCATGTGCCTGACTAGTGTGACTTGTCAAAAAACAGGAAGCACAAATTTTAGAGAGAAAAGATGAGGAGATAGGACTTCAAAGGGATGAAGTTTATTTTCTTCTGATCGGAGAGAGGCAGCAGGAGATGGTGGTAACAGATAAAAGGAACAGATGTGGAGGGTGACACAGACAGATGGTGGAAGGAGGCATAAGTGTACAGACACGTGCCCATATATGTGTAGATTGCAGAGACATACACATTGACACCCACATGCCATCCTTTGGAAGTGAAAGTGTGATGTCATAAGTAGACCCTGGCTAAAACAGCAAAGAGCAACTGTCCTTCCGAGCCCTAGTGTGGGATGGGAAGGTGTCTCCCTGCTCATAAGCAGCAGCCTGATGTGAACCTCCAGAATTTTTTCCCATGGCCAATTACAACAGTACTACAGTATATAGGACACATGACTTCAACACACCATCCTGTGGGCCCACTCAGAAACGAGACAAGTGAATTCTGTTCTGGCCACCCTGATCCACAACCTCCACAGAGAACGAGATTCTGGCTAAGTTCCATCTCTGGACAGAAAACAGTCCCTGGGCATAGCAGAAATGGCAAGTATCAGACATCATGCCGAGATTGAGGC